GGTTATTGGTTCTCTCATACACAAGGATCAAGTGGGTTTCATCCCCTTGAGACAAGCTGGGAATGGGGTCTGTCGGGCAGTCCTGCTTGCCCAAGAAGTCAAATCGTCGTGTCCTTACATGTTTGTGCCTCATGACCTTAAAAAAGCCTTTGATATGGCCTCCTGGCCATATCTACAAATTGCCGTACACCAGTGGGGCTTCGGTCCACACTTTCTTACCTGGATCGCCTCCCTATATGCCTCGCCAAAAGCTGAAATATGCAGGGCACAAGTCTGACCCATTCCCATTCAACGCGGGACACGCCAGGGCTGTCCCCTCTCCTCTTTGCCCTCGCGCAACTTATACGAAACAACCCTGACATCCGAAGCCTAGTGCTAGGAGCCCACCACCATAAATTGACTCTCTACAGATGACATACTTCTCTTTATGACTACCCCTCTCATATCTGCTCCCAATCTCTTGATCACACTAGATCAATTCTCAGTTGTCCCTGGACTACAAGTCAACCCCCCCAAAAATCTAAAGCACTTAATATTTCCATACCCACATCAAACTCACTGCCGACCCATCCGTGCTCTACCCCACCAATTACCCCCCCATGTTAACACATCTAATCAACCTTATGACATCCTGGTCCTCCTTACCTCTGGCATGGAGGGGGGCACACCACTGTTGTTAAAATGTCCATCTTACCCAAAATTCTCTCTTTCGTGTCCTTCCTATCCCAGTCCCTTCCTATTTCCCAAGGATTCTCCAATGTCGAAATCAGTCTCATGTCTAGGGCAAAACTAGACCATGAATCTCCAAGTCAATTATTTTCTCCCCTAAAACCAAAGGAGGCCTAAGCCTCCCAACACTTCACCAAATATCAAGTGGCACACCTTGCTCAACTCACTAAATACCACACGGCCCATGAGACCCCTCTCTAGGCAGCCATAGAGGTTGTGGACTGTGACCCACTATCAGTCGCAAATTTGCTGTGGCTTCACCCGAAAGATCACCGTGCCCTTCCAAACCCTATCACCAAACACAGTTTATCTCTCAAGATACGCCTTGGCTTACAATCTCCCCATAATCCCCTCCTGTCCTTCCTTTACAACCCTGCCTTCACACCAGCCTGGACATCCCCCTCCGCATTTCACAATTGGCCCTTTAGCAACCTTATTCGGGCCCATAAACTAACCACCCCAGATACTTTCAAACCATTCCCAATCATATGTGAAACATACGGTCTTCCAGGATCTGAACTTTTTTTGATACTTGCAAATCAAGCACTTCCTCACACCTAACCTATGAACAGATTCCTCCTTTCCAAAAATGTCCAAAGTTAAAGGACTTGCAAGAATGACCCACATGCCCGAGGCCTAATCTCTGCACTTTATTCCCACCTATTAACTCCTCCGCCACCCTCAACCATACATCACCAGATGGGAGAGAGACCTCGGTCTTAACCTAGACCCCCACTGACTGGGAAGATATCTGGTTAACCACAAAATTGGCTTCCCAAAGTAAAGTGGCCTTAGAAATAAATTACAAAGTGCTAATGAGATGGTACATGGTTCGCGCTCGGATAGCTAAATGGCTCCCCCTCTACTCTTCCACCTGGTTTAGGGGCTGCTCCGACCCTGGCACTCATTAACATATTTGGTGGGCTTGCCCTCTTGACCCTCTCTTTCTTGACTGAGATTTTCCATATCCTCTCCACCATGCTCCCCTACTCCTTACCTGGCTTTGGCCCTTCTTAAAGAAACTGCCCCCAGACTCGTCTCAGGCATTTTAAGCTCCTTCTGCAGGTCATGACTGCAGCAAAACAAACTATTGCTAAGGCCTGAAAATCCCCCCACCTCCACATTTTAGAAGTAAAAACACATGATCACGGAGCCATGATCCACCCCAAGGTTGAAGCGGTCCTTTTAGATAAAGTGCGTAAATACAAAATGCAATGGAAACCTTGGGTAGAACACTTCCTTACACCTGATCTTGACAAATCCTTACCTTTCCCATTTTAGAACCCATGCTGTGCCTCCCTCTTGGGGCCCCCCCGCTGACCTCTGCAGCCTCTCCCCTCTTTTCTTTACCTGTTGGTTATACTCATATTGGTCGCTAATAGCATACCCTTAACCATGCCAACTGAGATGCCTGCAGTTCAATTCCCCCCCTGGTTAAGCAAACAAATATACCAGAAATACTTCCCTTAAATGAACTGCTATACTATTCATCACAAACACTAACCGCACCCTGCCTTGCCATTACTTTCGAAATACCAACCAATTTATAAACTTGTCTACATTGTACTCTTTTCATGAATATTAATATTTTTGTTCATAATGTTATATATTGTGTCCCCAACATATACAAACGCCTTCCAGGCATACTTTGAGTTACTACTGTTACTGTGGTCATCTCCTGTTAAGATTATATACTTGCAATCTCTAGATCTGTAATCAATTCTATTATCTTTAATAAAATATTTGAAGAAGAAAAGAGCTTTCCTGGAGCATTTCAGTCCCTGATAGTGCAACTGAAGCAATCAACTATGGGTGGCAAGGCACTGTCAAAAGATCTCAGGGATCAAGTTGTGGACAGGCACAAGTCAGGAGATGGATACAAAATAAATGCAAAGGTATTATTAATGCCTAGAAGCAAAGTGAAGTCTATTATTAAGAAGTGAAAGGTATTTGGTACAACACTGACCCTCCCTGGATCAGGACGTTGCTACAAACTTCATGAAAGAGCCAGGAGGAAACTGGCCAGAGAGGCTACCAAGAGGCCTACAGCAACTTTGAAGCAGCTGCAGAAATTTATGACAGAGTGGTCACTGTGTGCATGTGACAACACTATCACAAATTCTCCACAAATGTAGCTTGTATGGGAGGGTTGCAAGAAAAAAAAAAGCCACTGCTCAAGAAAGATCACATGCAGTCACGACTGAGCTTTGCCAAAACACACCTTGAAGATTCTGAGGCCACATGGAGAAAAGGTGTTATGGTCAGATGAGACACATCTTTAATTATTGGGCCTCAACACTAAACGATATATGTCTGGTGGAAATCCAATACAGCTCACCATCCAAATAACACCATTGCTACAGTAAAGCACAGAGGTGGTAATATCTTGTTATGGGGGTGTGTTTCTCTGCAACAGGGAGTGGAGCACTTGTCAGGATAGAAGGAAAAATGGATGGGGCAAAATAATGTCAAATTCTTCAGGACAATCTGCTGCCCTCTACCATAAAGATGTCAATGGGAAAAAGGATTACTTGCCAACAAGACAATGACGCAAAGCACACAGCAAAAATGACAACACAGTGGTTGGAGAAAAAGCCAAATGTCTTTGCATGGTCTAGTCAGAGCCCAGACCTAAACTCCATTGAAAATCGGTGGACTGACTTGAAGACTGCAGTCCACAAATGGTCATCAAATTTCACTGAATTTGAGCAGTTATGCACAGAAGAGTGTCTAGTTAGTAGAAACATATCCCAACAGACTAAAGGCTGTAAGCAAAAAGTGGTTCAACAAAGTACTGACACAAAGGGTAATCTTTTTTTCCCAACTCAGTGACTGTTTTTTATATTTTTTTCTGACATGTTTGGTGTTCTATCCATCTTTCACTTGGATGTCACAAGTTGCACTAGTAAATAAAGCTGGATAGAAAAAAAAAAATGGGTGTCTTATTTTCAGGCTGCAAAGCAACAAAATGTAATTTTAAAATTTTTCTATATCTATTGGAAATGAACGGTTTAAATCGCCATACAAATATGTAGTGAAATTAAATCTTTATTTTTTTGCAATGGCATGGTGTAGGCAGATTTCTGAAACTCACAGGCTGTGCCACACCCATCCAGGATGTGTCTTTGAATAACAGGGAGGTAAGGCCTCCATCATTCATGATGGAATATCACACCCACATGTGACTCTGAAGTCACATGGGTTGCCCTGGCTTGATCGGGAGGAAAAGCTTGGAATAAAAACTCAATGGAAACCGATCATGTGCAGTAGCTGCCAACACTGCTCTGTAAAATCCCCAACTGCAGGAGGGGAGCCAGAGAACAGCAGGATCAACCACATTTTTTGCAGAATACAGAAAACAAATCTCATAGTGAATAAGTATGAACAGCATGTAATAAAGCATTTTTTTGCAATGTGGGTTTAGTGACACTTTTAAAATGCCAAGTGTGAGCATACAAAAATGTTAGCAGCTGTGTAAGACTGCATTAACAAGAAGACAAATAGCAGAAAATGCAGACTCACTTTTTGCTGACCAAAAGCATAATAACCAACACTTATGGCTTAATTAGGGTACAAGGGATATATGGAGAAACATTTTTAGTGCATGGATATGAAGATACTAGGTTTCGAAGTAGTCCTTGCTCAGTCTGTTAGGTGGCTTGCAGGATCTAATTTAAATCCTATTAACTCTTCACTGCTTTTGTCCCATTTATCACCTGCTGATGTGTCAGGAGTCATATGCCCTGATGATACAGCAACCAATCTATATCATTATGGTAAGGTTGCACATTATAGTGTTATCAGTGCTGCTTGAAGCAATAGGAACAAGAATGTATAACTTATAAAACTGTTACCATTCATTCCAGTGTATTAAAAAGGCGTTTAAGGTCAATCCACACTAATTTGTTGTGACAACGTGTGTTATTGGCGTTGATGCAATATGGTGCCATTTATTTTGAACGGCATCCCAATGCATCTTGCCAAGAGATGTATTTCAGCAACCTGCCAGAAATGGAGCAGGCACTTTTTTTGGTGTGCTAGGCAGCCAACTGAAATGAATGGCCCACCCTAATGCACCGCAAGTTAACCAAATGCAATTGTGTAAATGGGCCCTTGGTGTTAAAAGGAATTAAAAAATGGAGTGAAACAAATACTTTTTGTAATGGGGAAAACTGGAATGACAAATGTGCTATCACGTAAAGAAAAAAAAACAAAACAAAAAAAAAAAAGTTGTTTCACACACTCAGAAACAATGCAAAAAACACACTTACCCACAAATAGTAGTGTGAAGACCACAACTAACTGGTAGAGACTGCATGACCTAAAATATTTTTCATCATTGTGCGAGATATGAGGGGTTTATTTCTCCCATAAGGTTTTCTCAATAACAGAGATTCTGTTGGAGGCTCAGTTGCCAAAGCAAGTGATGCAAATGTGTCCATAATAAGATTTACCCATAACATCTGAACGGCCTTAAGTGGAGAATCCTGGAAAAAAATTAAAAAAAAAGGAGTTGTTAAAAAGTGTTTAGCCAAGTTTTATACGCACTGATGCTTATCTTTTTGGAAGGTGTGTTTTGATGAAAACCACACCAAAGAAACAGCAAACTTTTTATGTACCAAAAGGCAAAAAACAAAACACCTCAAACAAGGGTAGGTGCTTTTTTTTCAACTAAACACTAACATCCATATACACACCAAAAAATGTAGTGTAAAGAACATAACAGCAGAGTGAGAAATAAGGTAAAAAGTACACTGGTTAGTATGCTCAGCTGTGATGTATGAAAAGAAGTTGAGGGCAAGTAACCTTAGCCTTCCCAAATACATCTAGGTCACAGCACTAGAGTATGCACTGTCATCTGTCAAGTGCTGCATATTTAATGTGAAAGAGAAACAGTGCTTACTTGTGTGATACATGCTCCAGTAAAAGCTACAATAACAGCAACTACATTGACAGTAAGCTGGAATTGTAGAAATTTCGAGATACTATCATACACGTTTCTTCCCCACATTACTGCTTTTACAATGCTGCTGAAGTTGTCATCTGTGAGAATAATATCAGAAGCTTCTTTTGCAACATCTGTTCCAGCAATACCCTGTAAAGAAAGGCAAAGAGAATAAAGTTTAAATAAAACACATGCATTCCCCCAAGCAATACCACTGTACCTTAAACAATGATTTATTAAATAAGCAAAGACACTTGTCTGCCTCAAGTGCTCTCATAAATGCATCTTGGGCACACTGCCTTCTCTGTTCATTTAATGACACGAGAAAGTCCCAAGACACAAAAATGATGAAGCATCTGCAGAGGACATGAAAAGTCGTATTAAATAATTTACTCAAACCTTCAAAACAAAAAACCTGGTAAAAATGACCACAACAATTTGCACGTGCTATTTTCACTACCTAATGCTTAAAGGGCAATTTTGTTCAACATGAATATTTCAATGTTTAGGAAATGTAGAAGCGCGTTAAATACCAACTGATTTCTTACATATTTTACAGATGTCAGCAAGCACTTTTCCCACAAGTGCAAAGTTCTGCCCACCTGTAGCAACCAACACCTTGTTTTGTCATTTGTGGTACATTTTGCAGAATGCAGTAGAACAGAGACTTTCTTTTGCAGCAAGAGAAGTTAGTTTTCATGATTAAAGTGGTTGTAAAGGCTGAAGGTTTTTACCCTAATGCATTCTCTGCATTACGGTAAAAAAACCTATTGCTCTCCTTCACCCCCCCTAAAAGCTTACCTAAGCCTGGGAGCAGCAGCGCTGCTCTCTCTCCCTCCTTACTGGATTGAGAACATTGGGAGCCATTAGCTCCTGCTTTTGTCAATCGAATCCAGTGACAAGGGTGCGGGAAGAGGGGCCATGCAGCACTGTGTGTGCCAACGGACATACAGAGCACAGCTCGGGATCGAGTCTGCAAATGTGTCACCGTAGGAAGCGGCTTTCTATATTGGCATATAGAGAAGCTGAGTGCAAAACCACTGCACAGTACAGGTAAGTATGACGTGTTTTTTTCTGACTTAAGTGTGAAATGTTTATTAACCACTAAAGAGCCTCCCCGGAGCAGATATACTGCAACAAGGTGGCTCCACTGCGCAAAATCACGTACTTTTTCATTTCCAGGAAAAGGGTGCATGTGTTGCTCTACCAGTGTCACTATTGGCTGCTGCATATGTCAATCACCAGGTCCCAGCCGGCGATTCCCATCCCGGACTCTGATCGTCGACAGGGCTGAGAGGGAAGAGATCTGGTGATCATCGGCAGGGCTGAGAGAGGAGAGAGATCTGTGTGTAAAAAACACAGATCTCTCTCCCTGTCAGCATGGATATGCTGCTTTTTAACTATCTGCACAGCAAAAGATACAAAGCAGCATGTCTTCCAAGTAAAACAGCACACAACACACACAAAGCAGATTGCTAACCCTTTGATCAGTCCAGATGTTAATCCCTTCCTGCCCAGTGTCATTAGTACAGTGTCAGTGCTTTTTATTAGCACTGATCACTGAATTGGTGTCACTAGAAATGTCAGTGGCAGTTATTCAGTTTCCCCCATCTCCCCAGTGTCAGAATGCCCGCCGCAGTCCTGTTATAAGTCGCTAACTGCCATTACTAGTATAAAAAAAAATTAAATCATCCAGTATATACACCCAAATTTGTAGACGCTATAACCAATTGATATACACTTATTGGGATTTTTGTTTAGCAAAGACATGTAGCAGAATACATTTTGGCCTAAAATTTATGAAGAAATTTTATTTTTTACATTTTTTTATTGGATGTTTTATAGCAAAAAATGTTTTTTTCAAAATTGTCAGTCTTTTTTTGGTTTATAGTGTGAAAAATTAAAACTGCACAAGTGACCAAATACCACGAAAAGAAAGCACTATTTGTTGGGGGAGGACAAAATTTCATTAGGGTGCAGCATTGCATGACCATTCAATCAGTTAAAGTAATGCAGCACTGTATCGCAAAAAGTGGCTTGGTCAGGAAGAGTGGTAAATTTTCTGGAGGGCAAAAAAAAGTGAACTTTATGGTCTTCATTCCCACATGGCATAAATAACTGTATGCCCATGGAGGGCCATGTTTACCTGCAAATGAATGAACACAGGTGCTGCTCACAATGTGACATTCCTGGCCACTCAGGGTGCATGCCTGGATATAGGTGTGATTGAAATTTTAACGAAAACTATGTTGTTGTATTAAAGAATTTTTTTTTTTTGTTAATGTCACCTAAAAGATTAGTGGTCACATCATCGAAAGCCAGTGCCACCGGCTACAGATCTGTAGTCAGGACCAAGATCTGTCTGACACAACTGGGTCTTTCTGCTGAGAGTATGGAGGGAGTGTACTCTCAGCAGATAATGTTAAAGCCTACCCTTTTTACGTCACACATAAGTGTAAGGCCGTTGTAAAGGACTTCATTGTACTGGTCTGTATGGTCATGTGTACCTCTAAGACATCCCCTAAGCATAAGGTTTTGTGTATTTTCAGCACTGCACTTTAAGCTGCATGAAAACGTCCTTTCTAGCTGAATGGTACATTTTAACATTAGCTTGCAAATTGACCTTGAAAAAGACCCCCCAAAAATGCAAGATTTGGCTCCCATAGACTTCACTAGAGTTTGATGCAATGTTGAAGGGAATCGATCGAGGGAGCTGCCGAAGCGAGTGAAGAGGAGAGCGGCCAGAGAAGGAAGACAGCTGACAGCTGGTTCCTAGTGTATCCTGTACCCAGAAGAGGGAGCTCATCCACCTTCATACACTGGCTCTGAGTGCTCTTTTGACTTCATTGCATATCACTACACCCAAGGCTGATGATCCACCTGGGAGGGATGGTCCGTGTATCTGGCTGAATACCTGGATAGATGGTCATATATATGCACAATTTATCTACACGGTTCCAGTCACCTATCCAATATAGAGTGGATTCCCATTTTCAAGTTTTCTGCAGAATTTTCTCATATTCATGATGAATTTATGGATTCTATGAACTCTATGCTCACTTATTCATATATTTATATATATTTATGTCACAGCGCTGCACTATTTTGTTATTTATGTTACTAGGTCTAGTGATTCCTTGGAGTGTTCTAGCGGCTTATTATATGAGCGCTCGCTTTATTTATTTTTGAATTCATGCTTTGGTATTGCTGTTTAAGTCTGGAGGAAAAAAAAGTAGTACCATAGGCCAAAAACATCAGTGGCAGGAGATGTAAGGAGTATCAAACTGCTCTTATAATCATGTCTCCCAATGGCAGAAGTCCAATTTAGTCTTTATATAATTAAGGACGGCCAGTACTAAAGTTACACACTTTTTCATGCACAATCAATTATCATCTCCAATACTAAAGCTGCACACAAGTTCCTTTTTACACTCACATTCTAATATGAAAGCCTGCATAAGAATATTTCACATTTACCACATGCAGCCGTCAGAAGATCAAATTATACACAACTTAATAAGTAAGGAGCCCTTTAACATGGGCATTCAGTCTGGATCAGTTTGTCAGTTTTTAGATGGATCTAGACCGAAACAAAAAATGTATGACTGTGGGCGGGCAGATGTGTAAACTGACATACATCCATTTACATTCACTTACATGTGAGTCAGTTATGTACACAGAAAAAAATAAAATATATAAAAGGTCAGTTTCAGTTTTTGTGGACATAACAGATGTAAAATATAACGGGATTGAAGACAGATGTTGCAAACTGATAGACACTGAAGCGAGGACAGACATTCAAACTGATGAAGACTGATAACTTTAATCAGTATTCATCAGTTTTTTTTCTTTGCAAAAAATGTCACAGAATGGATGGCGCCCATGTGAAGATGCTTTCATACAGGCATTACCTATTCAGTCACATTTTTGATGAGAATGGATTCAGTTTATACATCCATCCTCAGTTTGGTTTACATCAGTTTGCATTTCAGTTCTATTCAGTCCACATTTGTTTTTGGATCCATTTTAGTGGTTGCAGAAATTATAGGTGACAAAAGTATAAACAAAAAGTGTTTCTTGCCTAAAGAGACAAACAGAACGGATTTAGATGGATAGCATGCATTTACATCTGTTCAGATCCAAATAAATGGAAGAGGACGCAGCCTTGCTCTGTGGGGAAAAAAAGGGACCTGAATGGACACAGGTGTAGGCAGATAATCAATGGATTATCATTCATTTACATCCGCTCACGCATAGATATTTTGGTTCAGTCTGGATGTAGACTGAAGGCCTGTGTGAAAGCGCCCTGAAAGCATCCCAAGAATAATGCAAACTTTTCTCCCTCTGCTAGCAGTTTGACACTTTTGATTTATCAAAGAAATAAAGAAAAAAAATCCAAGCTGTTTTGGGATCAGTTTTTAGGACAACATACTAATTAAAGTGGAAGTCTGGGCTTGAACTCTCAAAACTTAAAATGTTACTAAAGGCAGAATTTTTTTTAAGAATGAAAACAAACATGTTATACTCATCGGCCCTGTGCAGTGGTACTGCACAGAGTGGCCCTGATGCTCCTCTTATCAGGTCCCCCACCAGCGATATCCTGGCTCCTCCTATGTGTGTCCCCATAGCAAGCCATTTACTATGGGGAAAAGCAAATCCTGCTGTGTGCTTGCTCCGGGCACTTCCTCCTCACCGCGCTTGATTAACAGCAGCAAGAGCCAATGTCTCCTGCTGCTGTTTGAGTCCCTGCGTGAAGAAGAAGGGAGAGAAGAGAAGAGATGCAGCTGTGCACAGTACTGATCTCTACTCCCTTCTCTTCCCCTTTACAAAAGGGGGGGAGCACAGGGAACTAAAAAAAAAAAAAACATTTTTTTTACCGCAATACAAGCAATGCATTAAGATAAAAAATATTTTTTTAGGTTTAGTAAAACTTTAAAACAGCTCCCACCCCTCTTCAAAAACCTATACTAACTACTCTGTAGAAGGAAGATACGGATTCTTACCTATTCCCAGGGTGCTCAGTCTGGTCATGTGATCAGCTCTCAGTGGCTGACTTCAGGGGAAAGTGAGGACAGGAGACAACGTGTAATAAGCCTATGGGTTCCATCGCTGTCCGGACATTACATCCGTCATTGGCACTTTCTCCTCTT